TTTCTTGGGGCTCACAAAAGCAATACATTTTCCCGGGCTCTATAACGCAACAAACCCTTGCGAGATGCGTGTTGGGAGAACACCCTAAAAGCTTCCAAATCGTACGGCGGTAGAGTAACAGGCCTTTTTAATGTTTTTCCCACCTTTCCCAAGTAGGTTTACAAAGTTGAGGTATAGCAGAGTCCAAATCGGAGATCAGAGTTGTGTAAAACATGATCAACTAACTATGTATCATGTACATAGTACCTGATGATATCGAGGGGGGACTCTTGATTTCTTTATAGGGAATAGTTTTAATTCTCATAAAGTGAATTCTGAAAAATTCTGTCAGGCAATGTGACCTTTTAATCAAAATAATCCTTCAGATTCTCAACGGGGTAATGGCTTTAATGGGCTTAAGATTAAAATTTTGGCCAACTAACAGGTAACGGTGAGTTTCTTTCGGTTAACGGAGAAATTGTTAGGGTTAACTTTTTTACGATCGGCTAATAGTTAAAATGCGTCCATTTTTGTGGCTAATTTTTGTGCCGTTTTACGGCTATCGATGTACCCCATTGATATTATGAACTGGTGCCCATACGTCTTTCTAACTTCAGGCTAGTTGTGATTTTTACATCAATAAACTAGTATCGAACTTAACTCTTTTTGGTGATAAGCACTCACTTTAAACCCTAAGCCTCCCCTTTCAATAAGTGTTATTACCTGTTCGGCATTTCTGACTTCTTTTTTAAAATCTTCTAAAATCTGTGTGCTGAGAGCTTAATGAATGTGTGGGACAGAATGTCGAGTTTTTAAACGACTTCTGAAAAATGGCTGTGACACTACGAGCGCGTATGATTAATTATGCTCATGAATGAATAATGGAACATGCAAGTACACAATACAGCACGCAACCTGAAAACCCTCACCCCTTTCTAACTGTTTCGTTGAGCTCCTCTATCCGTTAATTTTGTTTCAAATACGACTTACGGACATTCCCAGGCCAGACATTCTCATACCCCACTCATTCGCCACTAAACGGCTTAGATTCGTTTTTTCGCCTTATTTTAAGATGAAAATGGCCACGATATTTTCTTTAAGTTTGTTTTTTCTGAGATATAAGTGCCTATTTGTAACTCGTGATACCGATATGTCCTGGAGAGCTTCGTTTGCACGTAAGCTTTTTTTTTTACTGGCGTTAAATTAGTAACCGTTACTTATCGACAATCGAAGAGAAACAAAGTGACACTCTAAAATAAACTTTTCATTTATCTCAAACCTAAATAAGTTTTGATTCTCACTCTTTTTTCGGAATTTTTATTTTAGTCTTCAAAGTTCCAAAGGGGAAGATTATTATACTCGCACTCTTTGCTAGAATTCATCTACTGTAAAACCTTTATACATAATTTTCTGAATAATAAACATTTCCGTAAATATACCAATTTCAACATAGTCAAGAGATGAGAATCCTTTGATTGTAAAATTTGCATCTCTCAGATGATTTATTGTCAATCTCGTTTACAAAAAGGCGAAAACGTCAATGGTGATAATCTTTCTTTTTATTGCTTGGCGGAGAATACCCTGGTCCCAGAGGTTCTCTTCTCTCTACCGGAGTACGTTTGAGTTCTCTCCGCTCGCTGCTTTACAGCTCGTTGAAGCGCCGAATTCTCGTACTCCGGTAGAGAGAAGAGAACCTCTGGGACCAGGGTATTCTCCGCCAAGCAATAAAAAGAAAGATTATCACCATTGACGTTTTCGCCTTTTTGTAAACGAGATTGACAATAAATCATCTGAGAGATGCAAATTTTACAAATCAAAGGATTCTCATCTCTTGACTATGTTGAAATTGGTATATTTACGGAAATGTTTATTATTCAGAAAATTATGAATAAAGGTTTTACAGTAGATGAATTCTAGCAAAGAGTGCGAGTATAATAATCTTCCCCTTTGGAACTTTGAAGACTAAAATAAAAATTCCGAAAAAAGAGTGNTTTAGGTCCTTCGGACATAGTTATGTCTGGTTTCGACTTAAGGGTCGCACTTGTCGCAAGCACGCGATAACAGATTTTATGTCCAATGTAAACACCAAAAGCGTAAGTGCGACCCCTGCCTAACTCATAATTCAAGTTAGAGTCAGTCATAGAGTTTTCATCAAGCTTATAAAGCCACTTCACATGCACTTTGGACTGAATGATGGGGTTACATGTAAACCTTTTTATAATTTGGACAAGGGTTATTTTGTTTCTATTGAGTCTCAGAATTATTTTTTTCAAGCTTTTCAATCTCTGTCATGTATGTCTATTATCCATACGATCAAAAGAAAAAACTTCATGTTTACAGGTCAAATATAAGAATTTTATGTGCCTGTGGCACACGTGAGATATTATAATTCTTGTCACTTGAACAAAAGATTTAAACCTTCTCGCCGCCGTGTAACATTATTCATGTATGTCTAACGAAGCATCTTTTGAGTAAGGTTATCTTGTCATTTTGGTATAGACCACTTTCATAAATGGCTGCCAGATTAATATTCTTTCTTTTAAATTCAAATTAGCCCTTCTGGCCTTGCTTGAGATAATGTATTCTTTTGAATTTTGTACTGGAGAACGAGGTCAGAAGGGCTAATTTATTGAACTTCATATATCCATTGTAACCAAAAGAATATTAATTCGGCAGCCATTTATGAAGTGGTCTATGGAGTGTGTATGTGGTGTACTTCTAGTGATTTGGTTTCCATAGAGACAAACGTCTTGCGTTGATGACGTCACATGTACCAACGGCTGCTGTAGGACCAATCCGTGTGTCAATGGAGGAACCTGCACTGAGATCTGTGAGCCCACAAGCGTTCGGTACAACTGTTCCTGTCCAGTAGCTTTTTCTGGAAGACACTGTGAGATTCAGCCGAGAAGTTGTCAGGATTACAAAGCTGCCGGGTCCAACTCCTCTGGAGTGTACACAGTTCGTGTTGAAAACTAACAAACCTTCCAAGTGTTCTGCGATTTTAATTCAGAGCCTGAGTTCGCTTGGAATTTGATTGAATCATTCAGTTTGTCCAATAAACACCGTTTCCAGGTAACTTCGCTAAAACTCACTAACTGTCAAACAAAGATCTCTTCCAGGTTATTTTACATCTCTTTATACAGCGTAGATGTCTATTCTTTGTTTCACGAACTCAGCTGGAATGACTTGAAGTCTCAGCGTCAAATTCAGAACGCCTTAATGGTTTTCAAGTCTTTAAACGGGCTGTTTCCCGAATATCTCAGGTCTAAATTTATAAAGCGAAAGGAATCAAACTATTATCCGAGAGACTAGGGAAACAAACTTGTTGTCCCCTTTCCGAGGACTAACTACGTACATGAAAAAATAGTTTTAGCTACAGCGGCGCAACCCTTTGGAACAGCTTGCCCTGTAACATTAGAGAGTCTGGTTCATTAAATAAATTTAAAAGCCTCCTCTAGTATAATTTTTAAACACGGCATTCATGGAAATCAGATTTTTTAAGTGGCATATTATAGTAATTTTTAATTTATATTAAATGTAATGTTAAGATTAGGATCATTTTTAGGTTTTAGGACGTTAGTCATTGTATTAGAATTTATTGTGCCTGATAAATTTTTTAACCGTGTATAAATAGAATAAATGAATAAATACAAAATATATATTTTTATTTTTTTGATTGTCATTCAGATTGTAGTTAGCGATCCGTCATATTCAGTTTTTGATGACTCACAGCTGGTTTGTCGTTAAGCAGCATTCATTCCCCTTTCTGGAGAATTGGCGAAACTGTCAAATCTACAAAGCAACTGGTCTAACTCGTTTGGATTGTACACAGTTGTTGAGGACACAAGTCGAAATTTCCAAGTGCGATTTGATTTTGATACAGAGCCCGAGATTTTCTGGAACCTGATTACATTATTTAGTTGTTCTCAAAAAGGCCTTTTCTAGGTAATTTTCTTAAAAATCCTTGCCACAAGGTCGGCTTATCTTGTCTATTAATTCATTACAAAGTAGGGTAAATGGTGTAGAGAAATTTTCTTCGTGGTCTGTTCTGCGATGGGACATATTGTTGTTGCTTTTATAGAAGATCTCTTAAAACATATTCGTTTGGTTGCTATAATAAGAAGTTATGACCTTCACTTTCTTCTCTGTCTCCAGAATAACATCACGTTTTACGATGACTACCAAGCCATCAGCGGTGATGCCCCAAACTGGCAGGCCTACCTCATCAAACGACCCTACCCTCTTTGGCTCATAAATCACTCGACTCACTGGAGAGCTACTTGTCGATATAACACAGATGGCACCCTATATACAGATTACCTGAGAGCCTCGCTTGAAGACTTTGACATTATCATAGACCAACCCATGATGATAAAGGTCTGTTGGCCATACGAATATGTCAACATCCGGGGAAACGAGTGTGTGAACTGTACTGCACGGACATGGTATAAGAAAGGAGATTACCCTCTCCATATCGATAGTTATTACCAGGTTGGCTGTGATTTCGATGGAAGCAGAACAGACCCAGCTTTAGTCACCGACGACAGCTTTGGTTTTTACCTCGACATAAATTCTAAATTCTGTTGTACTTCAAGTGACAGTGACACTACCCAGTTATGGATCGGGAGCAAGTAATTTTCTCATCTCAGAACACGCCTGTAGTTTTCACACAAGGAGGCTTAAAAATCATCTGGACATGGCTACCTTTAAAATGTAATCAGTTTTTTAGTTTACCGCACACCTGATCATAGTTTTGCAAAAAGAAAGAAAAACTGATTTGAAATCCTCGCTTAGTATCTGCGTTACAGAATGCATGTAAATAGGACAGTCCACGTTTAACAGTGAAGATGAAAATTAAAGTATTATTACATTACATCATTAGCTGAACGAGCGGTTTGTAGCTTTGAAAAGATTTTTAGGGATCTTTGAGCTTGTAAATATGCAACTTTGCTTTATTTGAAAAAATAGCGATTGTGAAAGGTCAATAGGAACAAGCTTGGTAAGAATCTTTCTCATTTGTATTTTCAACCATGCAGTTCAGTAATGAAGTGACGTCGACCATAATCGAACCTGATGTACAGGCTTTCAGAAATTACAGAGAACCTCGAAACTGATTTTAATCGATGATTTTTGCTTTTCTTCTTTTACCGGGTAAAACGAGTCTGCTAAGTTGGAGTGTATTGCCTGGGTATTCTATATTTACTCAAAGGGGAAGTGCTATTTACACTTTGTTGACCAAGTAAAAGCATCGAAAAAGTATTGGTTATAAGTCACGAAATGTTGACTATACATGCAATTAACAGGGCTTTTATTAAAAAAAAAAAAAAAAAAAAAAGTTAACGAGAGAAGGGTCTCATAGTTTACGGCTAACGGTTATAATTTTGGCCATTTTACAGTTATCAGTTAACCAATTTGAGACCCTCTGAGAGCGATTAGGAAATCCTCTTCAAAATTTACGGTTTTCAAAACTTTAGCTTTCTCCATTTTTCTTTAGGCTCTTAACTCAACAGCTGCAAACAGATATTTGTTATCTGGAACTAGAAAAATGTGTGATTCAGATCCGGAACCTCTTCACTTCCTAGTTTGGTTTTCTCTCATGATAAACTCCTTTCGGCATAGAGATTGAAACGATAAATCAATTTGAGTCATTCGTGCGTGTTCCTTTTATTTGCCATCTTATTTGATACGTCGTCTCGATATTTTGAGTAAGTTATAACTCATCTCATATCTCCTCGTCAGGGTATTTTGTTAAGTATGTTAAGTTAACGTTTTTCTTCGTTAGGGACGCCTTTCTGGTGCGTTTCTCATATAACAACAAAACAACTTCAGTCAGTTCGGACTCCAAAAAATCTCCAAATCCCTTTTCTTTGTACGGGGGACCAACATATTGCGTCATTGCGATATAAATCATTTGAAGAAACCAATAAGCGCACCTGAAATTGACTATAAAAATGAAACAAAGTTTGTTTTTTAAGAAGAAGGAAGGCCGCAACAATCAGCGTTTTATTCTTAGTTAACTATTATCTATGTTTTTAGTTTCAACCTACTACCGTGTGTTCGCTGTGTAAATAAAATTCTGAGTTGATAAAGATAACGCTTTTGCTGTTACAGATTGCATGTAGCCGGATATCATCTGATGCTGAAAACAAATGAACTCCCGACAATGCCTGTTGGTCTTATCTGATAGCTTGGTTTTTCAGGCCACTCCGACGCAAGTTATGAAGCATGGAGTTCATTTTTTTCTTTGGAAATTTGGGTCCAATGAATTCGCTCAGCGCGAGTCACCTTCCTTGAGGCATATTACTGAAAACGGTCCGTGGGTAATAAGTTTACCTCCACAATCAACTGTTTGGATATTATGACTAGAAAATAAATGAAATCTCTCTGACAGTGAGCCCGAGTGACTATCATAATGATATCCCGGGGTTGTTTGTTGTGCATGACTCGTTAGACTGCGAGGAACAATTTTATCGCGCAAATTTGGATACTGTCAGGTTTCAGAAATTAAGTTGGGCTTGATTTTATTCTTGCAGATCTACAGGCTCGGACAATAAAGATTAAATAATGAATATCAAAACGATCTTTGCAATAATGAACAATGATAAAGGCTAACTAAGACAGCTTGAGCGGGAGAAAGTTGGCGCCAAAACTCATTGAATAATTGATAACCGCGAAAGTCTGTGCCACGTTCGTGGTGTATCGTACAATGGAGAATGCTTAGTTCTTTTAAGCAGGTGTAACAGATATTTTTCACGAGGGACTTCAGATGAAAACGTACAAGATGTCAAATAACTAAGGACTGAAGCAGATAAATGGAGTCGATGTTTGGTTCTCTATGACAACCGATTTCTGAGGAATATAATTAAGTGATTGACTTGATAATCCATGTTATTGTAAACTCAGTTTTTAGTAATTTTTACTATAATGAAATCACCGTTGCCATTAGGATTTCGTGGTGTAGAAGTGAAAGCTGTCTAATTCAACTCAGGAGCTGTAAAGACCCGGTTACCCCGAGATTACTCAAATCGTCCCGATCGCTAACATTTCCGAGAAGATTGGTTCGATCCCCGTTATATTTAACAAACAGGTGAAACTGATCATGATCAGTACCGGGCAAACTGTTATCCAAACATCATCTTTCTAAAATGTATCATTTGCTCCTCACTCGGGACTATTGTTTCATTGATTCCACCTTTAATTTACATTACTTACAATAAATACGTCTGCTAGACGGATATTTATTATTATTGGTACCTCTCACGAGTGTTCGAATTTAGCCAGTTAAAGTTTTACAAAATTCCCAAATAAGTTGTGGTAAATTGGATAAATGTATACAAACAATCCTTGTTAACTTTTGCTGGTAAGAGATACAAATTTTACTCCGACATTTAATTGTCTCAGCTACTGTATTGTCTTGTTCGCCTCTCAATTTAAACAAAATTCAATTTGTCAGGACAAAACGTAATTAGCTTTTCCTCTCAATGAATAATGAAAATAGTAATAATAATAAGACCCGGAGAGAGAAAGTAAGAGAAAAACGTTGTTCAACGACAGGTTAAGCAGTTCAGGGGTAAATGTATCGACTTGCTTGATCATACAGATTTATGATGCCTCCTTGAAAGCTACCACTCCTGAAGTAATTTAATATGTTTATATAAGCTTTTAGTATACCCCTCGACCTCGTCTCGGGGATTATTCGACGATATTCAACTCGCCTTCTGCGAATAATTGTTAACTAGAATTTCTTTTGTGTGTAGAAGTTAATTTATTAGACCTGTAAGTGAGTTAACAGGTGAAAATTCCAAAGGAAATAAAATCATCATTGTCATTTCTATACCGTTTATAATTTCACAGCATGTAGATCAAATTCGCCTAAACTTAATGCACACCTGTCGAACCAAGGAAACTGTAAAGTCTGTTCTGAGCACAATCTAGAAGGATTGTAACCATGTTTTTGATTCATTTTCTTACTAATCTTCATATGGTTTCAACATTTACAGATGCAAAAAGCAACTGCGACACAGGATTTTGTCAAACATATCCCTTTGATATTTATGGGGATGCAATGCAAGACAAAGAGCTTGTTGGCCATGTTTTCCACAGTTCAGTGACTTCAAACCCAGTTCAGTGCTACATGTTGTGTAAAGATGACTGTCGATGTTTGTCGTTCAACTACAAGGAAAATAACGACGTCAAATACTGCGAATTGAACGAAGCCAGCCATTTCACCCACGACAGCTTCCTTAAAAGTTCTGCAGGATCCCGCTATTACAACCTGCGAAGGTTTTTCCACGGAAAGGTGAGTTCAAATACACGCATTGTTGTAGTATTTCTAAAAATATTCCTAAAATGTAGAGGAAAGGAAGTTGCCTTATGAATAAACTCGATTTTATCAAAACAGACCTTTTCGCGAATTCGCGAATCGAATTAACAAACTGAGATTGCTTGCAGTATTATGAATTTTTAATGTGCCGATCATTTTGGAGCTTCAATTGGAAGTGTCAAGTCTTTCCAGCGGAACACAAGTTGTTAGATCTTTAATTATCATATGGGCGTGTGTGTTTTTCCGAGAACTAAAGCACTCGTAGAATCAATACGGCCGTTAGACATGGAGCAACGAATAATCTTTTGAGTAAGGTCATCTTGTGATGTTGGTATGGAGTGTGTATGTGAAGCGATTCTACTGATCTGGTTTCCATAGAGACAAACGTCTTGCGTTGATGACGTTTCATGTACCAACGGCTGCTGTAGGACCAATCCGTGTGTCAATGGAGGAACTTGCACTGAGATCTGTGAGCCCACAAGCATTCGGTACAACTGTTCCTGTCCAGTAGCGTTTTCTGGAAAACACTGTGAGACTCAGCTCAGAAGTTGTCAGGACCACAAAGCAGCCGGGTCCAACTCCTCTGGAGTGTACACAGTTCGTGTTGACAACAAACAAACCTTCCAAGTGTTCTGCGATTTTAATTCAGAGCCTGAGTTCGCTTGGAATCTGATTGAGTCATTCAATTTGTCCAATAAACACCGTTTCCAGGTAACCTCGCTAACACTCACTTACTGTCAAACAAAGATCTCTTCCAGGTTATTTGACATCTCTTTATATTTTTATCTCTTTGATTGTCATTCAGATTGTACTTAGTGATCATATTCAGTTTTTGATGACTCACAGCAGGTTTGTCGCGAAGCAGCATTCATTCCTTTCTCAAGAGAATTTCAGCAAATGATATTGTACATAAGATGCGATTAACATGATTAAGAAGGATACTTTTGGCTTTAATATGGCGGGAGACAGTGCGCTGAAAAACTGTCAAAACTACAAAGCAATTGGTCTAACTCGTTTCGATTGTACACGGTTGTTGATGATACCAGTCGAATTTTCCAAAATTGATTGATTTTGATTCAGAGCCTAATATCGCCAGGAACATGATTACACCATATAGTTTTTCTAAAAAGACCCTTTCAGGTAATTTGCGTAAAAAAAATCCTTGCCAGATCCCGTCTATTACTTCTTTTCAAAGGAATGTAAAGTATGCGGAGTTTTCCTCGTGGTCTGTGTTACGATAGAACATGTTGTTGTTGTATTTTTTGAATAAGATCTCAAATAGCATTTACGTTTTGCGGCTATTATAACAAATTATGGCTTTCACTCTCTTCTCTCTGTCTACAGAGTGACATTGTGTTTTACAAAGACTACCAAGCCATCAGCGGTGATGCCCCAAACTGGCAGGCCTACCTCATCAAACGACCTTACCTCCTTTGGCTCAGAGATCACACGACCCACTGGAGCGCTACTTGTCGATACAACACAGATGGCACGGTGTATACAGATTACCTGAGAGCCTCGCTTGAAGACTTTGACATCATCAGAGACGAACCCACGATGATAGATGTCTGTCGACTTTACGAATATGTCAACATCCGGGGAAACGAGTGTGTGAACTGTACGGCACGGACATGGTATAAGAAAGGAGATTACCCTCTCCATATCGATAGTTATTACCAGTTTGGCTGTGATTTCGATGGAAACAAAACAGACCCAGCTTTATTCACCGAAGACAACTTTGGTTTTTACCTCGACATAAATTCTAAATTCCGTTGTACTTCAAGTGACAGTGACACTACCCAGTTATGGATCGGGGGCAAGTAATTTCCTCATCTCAGAACACGCCTGTAGTTTTCACACAAGGAGGCTTAAAAATCATCTGAACATGGCTACCTTTAAAATGTGATCAGTTTTTTAGTTTACCGCACACCTGATCATGGTTTGTTACAAAGAAGAAAAAAACTGTTTTGAAATCCTCGCTTAGTATCTGCGTTACAGAATGCATGTAGATATAACACTCCACGTTTAACAGTGAAGATGAAAATTAAAGTATTATTACATTACATCATTAGCTGAACGAGCGGTCTGTAGCTTCGAAAAGATTTTTAGGGATCTTTGAGCTTGTACATATGCAACTTTGCTTTATTTCAAATAATAGCGATTCTTTGTTTATCTAAAAGTAAGTGGTGGCCAACTAGAAAGCCTTCGCTACTTTGACCACCACACACAATTTTATAATCTGTGCTTTATTTATTTTATTCTGTAATCATTTGCTGCAATTATGCTTTTCTATCTATGCTAATTTTATGTAAATAGTGTGAAATAAATGAACCTTGAACCTTGAACCTTGTAATTTATCGACAAACATCGGCAGTCGCGTATGCACCACCATAACAGGACGGAAAACGCGTGCACTGTAAGTTCCCCTTGTTGTCCCTTACAAAGCTTTAGAAAACTTGTTTAAGGCTTAGAGTGGGACAACAGGAGGTTCTTACAGTGCACGCATTTTCCGTCCTAGCTGTCATGTATAGCACTGAAGTGGGTTCAACGTAATATACTTGTGAAAAACATGGTCAACAAAATCTGTGTCTTGCACAGAATCTTGATGCACATCAAGGGAGATCTTCTTACAACTCTCGGAAGGACAGTCTCCCTTAACTTGTAGGAAAAAAAGGGAAGCAAATTCCCAACGCTGCAGATGTCATATCTGTGGTGTATATCTGCACCGAGGTTTAAAGCAATTTTTTCGTCACTCATTTGAAGGAATCGGACAGATAGGTATTGACCAAGAGAATTTCGATATGCTCTTAATATTGTCGGGCTCTACAGTCATTGATTTGTCAACGCTGGAATTGGACCCGACGAGCTGATGCCTCGAGTTTTAGTTAAAAAAATTTATCTCTGCTACGCATGCGCAGCTGAAGAAGTGATAAGATCTACACTGACGTAAGCCGTAAGGAGTGTCCAATGGTCTTGTTCGGCATCTGGCTGGAAGTTCGACCTTATAAAAATTATTCAGGAAAATTCATTACCTAAGGAGCAAATTCCGCGTTAAATTACACGTGTAAATGTACTTATTGCCTGAGTGGGAGGGCTAAACGGGGAAATATTTGGCTCGAGTTCATAACGTAAGGACCGAGCGCAGCGAGGTCCGTGCCTCGTGACCGAGAGCCAAATATATTTCCTGTCCGGCCTGACCAAACTCAGTCAATAAGCATTTTAGCATATGACCACCTTAAGTGTTGGAAATTTCAACCTAATTAACACGCGAAAGACGGGCAGAAGCAGTGACACGACTACAAAAAAAAATTTGCCATTAAAACTTTTCCTTTTTTTTTTCACGTCAGAACAAGGAACTCCCAATTCCTTGAAAAACGCGACTCTTTTTCTCATTTCTGTTTTCCTTCGAGTTTTTGTACCAAATTGACGTTAGGGCAGAAGGGCCGGACGGCTTTTTCCGGACCGGCTCACGTCAACCCGTCAAGCCCTGCACACATCAGCTTTCATTATGGTTTTTCAATGGGATTGCGCGAGCGGGGCCGGACGGGTCATTCGATAAAAACCGATATCGCACGAGTCGGGAAGCGATACTTCAGTCAGTTGTTTTGACATCGAATGCAAATCCATTTCGGTTTTTTTAGTAGGTAACGTCAGCAACTAATGCATGGTAGTAATTAAGCTTCGAATTTGTTTTTCTTATGACGTTTGACATGTATTTTTTACAAAATACAAAATGCTTGTTATTGCACAAATACATTAATTAAGAACAAGGGATGGTGGATATTACTGATTCTGGAACAGCACGTCGAGTGTCTGAGAAGTACAGTACAAGTGAATAGTGACATTTAGCACCAGGGTTTTCAGCGGAAACCGTGAACGGCAAACCGGTGGAGGTCACGTGACCAAGCCCTGCGGTCACCTTCGGAGTTTTCAACGCCAAGAGATAGGTTTCCACGCAAGTGATTGACCAGAACGTTTTTTTTATCCTGAATTTGTTTTTATGCCACGCACAAATCAGAAAGTTATGTAAACCAGTCTTTTTTGAACAAGTTTAGACATATTTTTTAGCGAATAAGGGAAAATAGGACTTCTTGTTGCCATTTGAAAATCAGACAGTGCTGTTGTCTGGAAATTCAATATGGCGGCCTCTTCAATTTCATGGAGAGGTGCAGCTAAAGCGGTAGAAGCCATAAACATCAAACGCCAAACGCCTAATTTTAACCTGAAACTGCCGTTTCAGGTTTGCCGTGAATGTGAAAACCCTGGTTCAAAATGTCTCTAATGATGATTCACATCCCCCTGTCCTCTATCTTATTACCACTGTACGCATATTTTTTCTTAGGTTTTTAAGTCTCGGTCTCAAGTCTTTCCTCTTGGCTAGTCTGATCGTCGATTTTTCCATAAATTTTATTAAAATGTGAATTATTAAGCGTACCCTCAGATTAATCGACATCCCGCTTCCACTGACTAACAATTTAGTTGCCTGACGATTCTGCCCATTGTTTCCTATATCTAGTAAGGTTAACAAAGACTAAATGCAATGAAATGAAAATTCTATTAGCTTTACGCTGTTCCAGCACCTGAAATTTCGAGAAATTTTATTTACAACGTTCACGGAATGAAGGAAAAAGGGATCCAATTGCTGTGTTTTCAATTGCTATACTTTGTTCAACACTCGTGATAAAACGAGTGACATCTTTCGTTATTTACTCGACATTTACTACTGCATTTTAAAATCTATTTATTCACTCAAAGTTTTCGAAGCTGAGGCTAGTGAGCAAAAATGCCAGAAATTGATTATGTTAAGTAACGAGCTAGAAACTAATTGCAATACAAAAGTAGATTAAAAGCATATCATTTAATACTCAGACGAGAAACATCTTTAGGAGTCAATCACACGTAAAAAAAAAAGTTAGAATGCTCTAGAAATCCTAAACTTATTTTTCATAACATATAAGCTGTATTCACTTTAATTGTTTTTAATTATCGTTAAATTTGTACAATTTATAAATACAAAAAATCAAGGACTTGGAGTTTTTCATCAATGTTAATGGAGCGGTTTTCAAGTTGACTATGTAATAAAACATTATTTGAAATACAAAAACCTCAGTGGATCTACGCCATAGCTTTAGCCTTTCTCAGACATTTCTAATCTTTTTTCCAAGCTCCATTTTAAAACTGAGTGTATTAAAAGCTGAATCTAAACCACACCAGTTTCAAAGACTCTTCAATTAATTGGTCACTGTTCTATCTATGATATCATGTAAAAACCCTATGGCTCTTCGTCTACTTTATTGATTTCAAAATTACGACAAAAAACTAAAATAAAAATAAAAAAGAAAACCGTTTATTGTCTGCCATGGTCTGTCATCAAAAGCTAAGAAATAAGACCCATCGTTTCTACTGTTGCTTGGTCAGCGGTACTATTTGCTCCCGATCCAGAACTGAGTCGTATCCGCCTGGTTTGAGGTACAACGGAATTTGGGATTTTTAGCACCGTAATATCCAAAGTTGTCCTCGCTTGAAATGGCCGCGTCTGTTTTGCTGCCATCGAAATCGCAGCCACAGGAACAGGAACTGTCTATGTGCAAGCGGATAACTCCTTTCTTATACCATGTAGCCGCAGTGCAATTCTCGCATTCATTTCCCCGGATGTTGACATATTCGTACGGTCGACAGGTATTTACTACCGTGGGTACGTCTCTGATGATGTCAAAGTCTTCAAGCGAGGCTCTCAGGTAATCTGTATATACGGTACCATCTGTGTTGTATCGACAAGTAGCTCTCCAGTGAGTCGACTGATTTCTGAGCCAAAGGAGGTAGGGTCGTTCGATGAGGTAGGCCTGCCAATTTGGGGCATCACCGCTGATGGCTTGGTAATCATCGTAAAACACAATGTTTTTCTGTAGACAGAGGACGTAAATTAAAGTTAGTGTAGAAGTTACGCGGATCGTTTTCAAAACGGTCGCTCATGAAGCAAGAAAATTATGAAAAAACAAAATTAATGATGTATTCCACATTTCACCGCTGAATGTGCTTTCGTCCTTCACACCTGTATCAGATATCTATAAAACATTCAAAGAGAATGTAAATACCTGAAAACGATGATTGTTGGATAAACTAAACGACTCAATCAGGTTCCAAGCGAACCCAGGCTCTGAATCAAAATCACAGAACACCTGGAAGGTTTGACTGTTGTCATCGTTAAGTGTATACAATCCAGAGGCAGTGGACCCGGCTGCTTTGTAATCCTGACAGCTTCTTTTCAGCTGAGTCTCACAGTGTTTTCCAACAAACGGTACAGGACAGGAACAGTTGTACCGAACACTTGAGGGCTCACACATCTCAATGCAGGTTCCTCCATTGAGACACAGATTGTTCTTGCAGCAGCCATTGGTACACATGACGTCATTGGCGCATGAAGAATTGATGCTATTAGTCTTCAAAAACAAATTAAACGTAAAAATGATTTTATTTGATGAGTTTCACTGGTAAGAAAAGGAATCGTAGCGTTAAACTAGAATTACAATCCTATGTTTTTCCTTATATCAGGTTTTTGAGCGTAGCCAAGATTAAAAAATATTCCAAACACAGGCCTCAGTTTAACAACTACTTTTATTTCAAAGCAAACGTGTTTTTGCGGCGTTCTATATTCCCTTTAGCTTTAGTTTTGATAAAAAGATAAGGTACTTTTTGGTTTATCGTCTACAGTTTCTTGACAGTTATTGAATTTATACACAATGGACACCTGCAATCGTCTTCTGTTACCGCGGGGCCTCACGTTCCCCAGCTGGGTCCCCTGCGGAAGCGCTTGACTTTCGGGCATGCGCGTGAGTGGCGTTCGAGTAAAGACCACGAGGGCCACCGAGTTTTTACCTGAATTCAAGCTGAATTCGATCTGAATTCGATAGTTTAGTGCTGAATTTTGAGTTCACCTCACGGTGCCTCGTGTAAGAGTAAATGGTTAACTTTATGGTTCGTCTTCACTCGTATTTTCTAAACGGTAGACTTTACGGTTGGACTTTACTCGTATTTACATATTTAATTAACCGCCCAATCGGTTAAAGCAGAATACAATCTGAAAAAAAAAAAACCCAACCAATTACAGAAAAGAAGGGACGATGGGGTCTATTAGAAACCATAAAAGTCCCCGAAAACCTTGGAAATGCCAAAAACTTCGATCAAAACTGAAAACCGCATGCAAAATTGTCTAAACCGATAATTTTTCACTAAATAATCTTTTCCTGATGGAATTTTGGTTAGACATATCTTGCATATAATGACAGCTAAATGGTTAAATAAAACATGATTGTCTTGCCAAAATTTGGAAGCCTCCGAGGCAGGACATCTGGTTCTTTGGCCATCTGGCATAAAAACCGAAGACCCGTTGTAAGAAATAGCCTAAACTCGCAATGCCCCCCCTAAGAAAGTACGTATTAAATGTTGTTTTGAAATTAGTTTGCATGCTTGCACAACTTTGGGAGTCTAAAGGCCAACTGAAGGATAACTATCCCTCTAAAAAGAGGAAATGGCTTAGAAACAAGGTACAAATGCAAATTCTAATGATTTTCGAACTGAAAACTAATACTGACTTCGGTATTAATGTTGGAAAGGTTTACACTAAATACATTTATGAGAAAAACAAGCAGGATTTTCGCCTGAAATTTCTGACTGTTTACTTGTAGATAGGACTGATTGCTTATTATAATAGCCATAAATGCTTTTTTCCTTAATTATGTTTAGCTCCAATATATTTCTTGGCAACTTACACAGTTCACCATATATCCTTTTCAGGAAAATGAATAATGAAACAGAGTATCGGTGAAAAACGAAGTCTTCGTATGAAGAGACAGATAATCTAAAATTTGACCGAATAAACTCCAATTGGCCTTTTACCGCCCATTCGTGTGATTCTTACACTTTTATTTATCAAAAAAGGACGGTCCTTTGTCCAATTAATAATCGCTAGTATAATTAATTCGTACCTTAACTTTACTATATTCCTTGCGTAGAACAAAATATTTTGAGCCTGGAGACTTTACCAATGCATTGTTGCTGATGAAATGATTTCCTTCATTTAACTCGCAATATTTGATGTCGTTCTGTGGATTTTCCTTGTAGTTTATCGACAAACATCGGCAGTCGCGTATGCACCTTATATAGCACTGAACTGGGTTCAACGTAACATACTTGTGAAAAACATGGCCAACAAACTCTGTGTCTTGCATAGAATCTTGGTGGACATCAAGGGAGATCTTCTGACAACTCTCTGAAGGGCAGTCTCCCTTAACTTGGAGGAAAAAAAGGATGCAAATTACCAACTCTGCAGTTCTCATACCTGTATTGTATATCTGCACTGCGTAAAAGCAATTTTTTCTTCAAGTTTCCTCACTCAATCGAGGGAATCGGTTTGATGGATATTGACTAAGAGAAAATTGATATGCTCTTCTTAATATTGACAGACTCTTTCCCTGTTTGAATAGCGCTTGAAATACACCTCCGCTCTCCCAGGCTGACACTTCGAGCCTTAATTAATTTTTTTTTTCCTTCTGCACAGCTGAATAAGTAAGAAGGATCTACTCGAAAGCCATCAGGAGTGTCCAATGGCCTTGTTCTGGCATCTGATTATAATGATGATAATGACTTTATTGGAGTACACAATTACTGGTAAAACCAGTAGTTCTCATTGTGGTCCTCTAAAACTACATAATAATTTGGATATATCAACAAAGTTGAAATTGTAAATTGGCCACCGTAACGATTATAAAAGCTGACGTTTCGAACGTTAGCCCTTCGTCGTTACGGTGGCCAATTTACCATTTCAACTTTGTTGATATATCCAAATTATTTCATTACCCCCACCGACGCAACCCCAAACAGTTTCTTTCGAAACTATCAGCCCTTATTCATCTCTAAAACTACAAATTTAAATTGCAGAAATACAAAGAAAAAATAATTGAAAATTAAAAATTCATAAGAATTTCTGCTTCATAATAAAATGACCAATTCTAGAGTTCTGATCTATATATTTCATGTATATATAACAACATTGTCTGGCTGGAAGCTCTACCTTTTAAAAATACTGTGGGAAAATCCATTACCTGACTCTTGCATTCCGCGTTAAATTGCACTTGGAAACCGATATCGGACTCATTGCTCCGCGATTCGTGTGATATTAGTTTACGCATACACTCAACGCGGAATTCCCTCGTCAGATAATGATTTTTCCCATTTAATTATTCATTTCAGTTAGTTATTTTGACAACAATAAATTTTTATTAAAACGTGAATTATAAAGCGTACCCTTAGATTAATCGAATATATTTAAAATTTTTTTCAAAAGCTCCCTAAAGAAACTGTTTGGGGCTGCGGCGGTGGGGGTAACGAAATAATTTCAATATATCAACAAAGTTGAAGTGGTAAATTGGCCACCGTTACGATTATAAAAGCTGACGTTTCGAGCGTTAGCCCTTCGTCGGAGCGAATGAAGAAGTCCCTGAAGAAGTCTACGACAGTTATAGTTAGACGAAACGCGTCGGAAAATAAAAGCAGTTATACAACTACTGTTCGCAGAAGTGCTGCTCACTAGTCTATATTTAAATAATTTATTAAAAAATTGTCCATTAACACAAGTTAGCCGTAATTATTTAATTTTTGGAGGGGAGGGGGTGGAGGATACACATATATCACTGGCCACCATATTGAAGTGGTACACATATCACTAGTGATGTGTGTGGGGATACAGTGATATGTGTGCAGGGATACACATTATAGAGGGTCTCAATGGGGTTAAGTGTGTGGCGTGAATTGTCCAAAAAATTAACCGTGTGTGGTGAAAAAGGGAAAAAATTAACTGTGTGTCGTGAATTATTTTTACATACATACATACTTTAATGTCGCCTCCCCATTGGGGCTTTTCAGGAACAATATATAAATTACTGACTTTTCATTCAAATAAAACTAATTAATCACAACATCTAATATAATATAATGTAAGAATATATATAAAAACATATGTACACGATTGGTTGAAAAAATATTCTAATCAGAAGTACTAATCAGATTTCAAAAATTCAGAAATAAGCAAAGATTTGAGTTTTCTTTTAAACATATCAATGTTCGCAGCAAGTTTCAGTTCTGTATCCAGACCGTTCCAGAGGCTAACAGTTCTATAGTGGAAAGATCTTTGACCGGTTGCTGTCTTGCAAAGTGGGATCTGTAGTTTCTGTGAGTTCCTTGTCGAACGTGTTGAGATTTTTGATCTTTGAACAAAAAGTGAAGTCAGGGCCTCAGGCGCGCACCCAGTCATGCATTTGAAAGCCAGAATTGCATCACGGTAGTACAGTTGTTTTCTTATTGGTATCCTGTGCAATTGTTTAAGAATTGGTGTAATATGGTCGTATTTCTTTTTGTCGCATAAAATACGGCCAGCGAAATTTTGTACAGCTTGGATCCTATTAAATTATTTTCACTGGTGTTACACAATACGTTGGAGCAATAATACAGTTTGCGGAAAACTAACGCATTTATCAGGAATTTTAATGTATCTTTGTTGAATGCATGCTTCACACGGTTGATTTGTCCCAGCCTGGACATGCAACTAGCAACTGTTGACTCCACATGATCTCTGTATGTAAGGTTTGAGTCAAGCATCACTCCCAAGTCCTTGGCACAATCGACAGGCAGGAGCTCTTTTCGAATTCTCAAGAGTGTTAGACGGAAGTCTCCAACTTTGGCTGTTATTGCTCTACTTCCAAAGATGACAAGATTGGTTTTTTCGGGATTTAGTAAAAAAAAGTTCACAAAAGTCCAGATAACCGTGTTGTTTGTAGCTTTTCCTAAGCTCTGAACAATTATTTGATATATGTGGTCTATTTGGTATTTTTAGTTTGTTTTTCAGACAGAAAAAACATTTATTCGATATATAGACAAAATCACCACGGGTATCCCAAAGAACACGAAATAACAATGCACAGCGTGTATGACGTCATTTTTTGAAGATAAGCACATGGCTGGTGGATTTTAGACTAGGTTTACCCTAGAGGAGAGTTTTCCGGATTCGTAAATATTTCCGGATTCATTAATTTTAGAGTATTCGAGTATTTTCTTTTACTTAAGCCTTCACATTATTTCCACCTGCAATCTTTTGAGTTTGCGGTGAAACCAAAATGGATCTGGTGCTAACATCGCTGGCGGTCTCCGGTTGCCTAATCTTGTTGCAGGTTCAGGCGATAAATTTTATCATGTGTACTATAGGTACACATGATGTTACTATAGGTATCAATGTTATCAATGTTACTATAGGTAGTGTCGGCCGACACTACCTATAGTAACATTGATCCAATTTTTCAATACCGACACTGCAACAATACACAACCACACGAGCGACGTTCAAACTATATTTACCGATAAAGTTCAGACACTTGGCCGATAGACTACCGACACTCGGCCGATAGACCACTGACACTTGACCGATATTTCACCGACACTTGACCGATATTCCACCGAGACGCGACACTCCATCTGTCGGTCGACAGTCGGTCGACATATCGACCGACATGTCGACCGACCATCTTCCGACTATCGACCGACTATCGACTGACTATCGGCCGACTATCGACCGACCTATCGACCGACTATCGACCGACTGTCGACCGACATATCGACCGATATGTCGGTCGACATGTCGGCCGACACTACCTATAGTAAAATTGATCCATTTAGGCAAGCTTATCCGGTGAACAAAAGTTTAAATATTTGTATTCTGATTCTTCCCCGGCTGAATGAAACTCCTAGATTCTGACTGAGAGATGTTCCGCTTGAGGTGTCAAAACAACGACACAAGTCCGTTTATAGTTCTCATCTTAACTTGTTTATTGTTTTTAGCTTTTACTGTTGTTGTTGTTGTCTTTAACTGTATTAAAAATGTACGTTAGCATGAAAATAGGCATCCTTTATTTGTAATGGTGATAGGACTGAGTGGAGTCCAATTCGGTCTGTAATCATACGAGTGATGACATATTCGGACGAGGCCGCTTAGCGGGCGTCCGATTGTTTATCACGAGTATGATTACAGACCGAATTGGACGACTTAGAACCAGTTAATCATAAAAATTACAATTTCCGAGAAAAAAAAATAGCCGAGTTATGAAAGAAAGGGAAAATTTGTATTAAAAGAAACCAAGGTTGTGGTTGGTGNCTTTATCTTAAGAAAGCGAAATATTTTTGCGATATAATAAATCCTTTATTAACCCAGCTTGTTCGGTCAAGATGGCTGGATATTAACCTCGTTCTTTTTTCAGCATTATAATGTACCTCAACTTTGTCTCGGTACATAAAAATAAGTAAAAAAGAACTTGGCCAATATCCAGCCATCTTGACCTCATGCTTGGTTAATAACCAATATTTATTACATGACCCGGGCAGTCAGAGGGCCAATGACTAAAATCAACCAATCAAAATGCTCTATTGCCGGTCAATATTCTCTCAGTATTGGACCGGGCACTGTTCTGAATGGTCTGGAATGATGCTGCACTTGTGTCCCTTTGAACTTCAGTCGTATAAGAAATCTCATATTAACCAAGCTTGCTCGGGACCATACTGGAAGAATATCGGCCCTCTGTCTTTTTTGTATGGACCTCACTACGCTCAGTCCATACTGTCAAGACTTCGGGCCGATATTCTCCCAGTATGGCCCTCGTACTTGGTTAATAAGATATATATATATATTGTGGTTACTGTTTAATTTGCCATCAATGCCTGTCTATTTTCCTTCGAAATGCGTCCAAGATCTAGAAATTCAGATTAATGGTGATTTGAAAAAAATTAAGGTGAAATGAGTCATCAAGCTCATTTAAGCACTGAAAGAACATTTACTTCTTTTAAATCATTAGCCATAAGGGACATTCAGAACATGAAGACTCTGAACCACCTGAAAAGATTTTGAACTATTTACATTTATTGTTTCTTTTAGACTTCATATATTTATTGTAGATTATTAGCACTACAAATTAGTTATTTTATATCTCCCAGTTTTAGACTAGCTATTTGGGAGTACAAGTTCCAAGTTCCAAGTTCCAAAGCTCACGAGGTTGTGGACAGAAACTAGGTGGTGCTATGGTGGCAGGTCAAGACCGAGGGTCCGGGAATTAGGACCCCCTAATTTTTTATTTGTACTCGTCTGACGCTAAAATTCTTGCACCCACAGGATTGCATACTACTACAAAGAAATTGTGAATTGGTCAAAATGTAATTTAGGACTCTCTATAATTTTTCCACCAAGATCTACCATTGTTTGCTGATCTAAATGAAATTTCCAGCCAACCTCTGAAAATAAACAAATTCAATCAGTCCCAAATTAGATTAATTTCAATGCACCCTTCAGCTTTGTAAAGGATTTGTAAACACTTCTGTCTGCAAATGGAAACCTTTTTCTGACCAATTTTTTTTCTTGCAGAAAAAGACCCTTAAAAGGCCTAACATTTTCAAAACACTCAGTTGTGGAAAAGAATTTGACTGTTTTGATAACCTGTTCAAAGGATAATAAGGATGAAGCAAAGGAAGTAATATTATAATAAAAAAACTTAGAAAATGAGAAAAAAGGAAAAAAAGAAATGACCAGCACTTTTCCAATTTCCTCCTGCTGAGTGAACATAGTTTGCATGCCTAGGTAGTTGACATTGACCTTAAGATGACAGTGAGGCTCTACTTCCTTCAATATACCACAACTCAATTACTTACAACTGGTTTTGTTTTGTTTTCTTGACTGTAATACACATACTATTTCCCTTGCATTTTGACCAGTTTCACTCACTGCTTAAAATTCTAAAACATTAGGGGGAATATGATTCTAAGCCTTAACCCCATGAAGCAACTCTACCCCATTAGGGTGAAGAAGGTTCTCAGTTGCTGTAACACATAAGGCTAAGACAATAATAAATTTACAAGAACAAGAAATATGACAAGTTTTGAGAGTGGTCTTGGAATAGAGCTGTAATCCAGTTTTGTGATGAGACAAAAAAAAAAAAAGAAAAGAAAAGAAAAAGGTCTGTGACTAACATTAGAAATCAAACCCTAATCTGTTGGTTTTGCAAATAACATCTTTTTCCGTTTAAATACAATACTTGTAAAACTTGGTTTTTTTTTCCTCAGATTCATACAACCTTAACTGAAGTCAATTAAAATGAAAGGGGGAAATTCTAGTGCACTTTCCATGCTAACAGATAAATCAAATGACCAGACTATCCAATCCATTTAGGTGACTGGCATAATTCCCTCAAGGATATTCAAGAAACATAAAATTATACATCTGTCTTTATACTTTCCAATCTTTTTTAAATTTGATCTCTGTTTCTGCATATTTTGTTGGAACTAGATATTCTGAATAATTTTCACCAAGTGGTACATGACTTCCTTATTCCATATGGTTTACATAAACTCTTCCTCAACCAGTATGGAAATTAGAAAAAATGCAAATGTACATTTTAATTGAGTTTATCCCAAGAATTAAGCAATAATTCTGCCCTTTTGTTTTAGATTGACATAGTAAGGTTTAAATAATCATTTGTAACCATACATGTAGGTACAGCATTTCTGGGGACAGTTAATTCACACAGATTCAAGAGGTCCAACTTAGTTGATTGTAACATTTACTTCCTCAGAGAAAACAAATTCTTCTACATGTATATGCACCTGGAAGCCTACATGATCAATCAAAAATGATAAAACTATTCATTATTTACAATATGAAGGTCTGAAAGCATTAACAAGGTTTTCATTAACAATATATGAGTGGTTGGTACATAATCAAACCAAGCAGTTACTCAAACAAAAAGAAACACGCCGGTTGTAACAAAGTTACTAACAAAAATATAGTATTTATAGGTAAAATCTGATCATCGTTCAAAATTCCTGAAATCGCAAGACGACTATGTCCCCCGAAATAAACAAGGCAAATTATTCAGAATTTCTCAGAGTTAATTCAACATGCAAGATTCATAGGTAGGCACCATATATTTGATGTTGATAAACGCATCTGGACCTCCACGCCGCTCGAGGGCTTCGAGCGTTTCTTGAATCAGATCACCGACATTTTCTCTTTTCTGCTGACTGTAATCGATTCCATCGCCCGAATTGATATTCTTATTCTTGAAGATGTTTAAGATCGGTAGTATTTGCCTGTAGTAAGGGACAAGGGCTTCCCCAATCATCTCACCAGCGACCACAAGATGCTGCAAAGCTTTGAGTGTGGTACATATAACACTAAGTTTTCGCTTATTCAATGCTTTTTTGATCGGGATTATGAGCTGTGGAATAACTGCAAGAACTTTGTCTCCACCGTGCTCCAACATATCATGGACTCCTTGTCTGGCGAAAAATTCGTAGGGATGCGATGTTTCGGACAATCCCTCGACGAACAGTGGAAGGTAATGATGGTAATCGAGCCTTTCTATTTCGACTTTCCAGGCGATCTTGTTGCCCTTCGTATCATGCTCCAAAGCAATGGGAAAATCGCCTCGCTCATAACACCTTTTAAAACTAGTACTTTCTGATGGCCTTTCTTTAAAAGCTCCTGCGACAGGAGGAGGAATAACCTAGTAGAAAAAGAAAAAAAAAATAGCTTCAGGAACCCAAATGAAATATGTCACGTAGCTCTCGGTCTTTGGGTAGAAGGTTCATTGCTTCTCTTTCTACTGTAACTTTCCTGAAAGATAACATACTGTGCTCACCAGCGCGTTCTCTAATCTTGATTTCGCTGAAAAGGGCTCGGCGATGATTGAAGTCTTGTACGCCACAATAGTTTTTTTCTCCTAAGTAAAGATAAGCAAAATTTCTTACTGACTAACACTCATCACTTCGTGGTCGAGGAAGATTTAATTTTTTCACATTACAAATCATTTGAAACAACTCATAATCACTCTTACTTTTTCCTCTTTCCGTCGGCGGGTCGTTCGCATTTTTGGGTAATCCTGCGTTTGCTGCATCACATTTGCGTACATTGTAGAAATCACACAAAATCCTCCCGTACGAGATCGTAAAATGTTAGCAAAGACTGCAACGCAACTTTGAGCAACAGAAGAAATTACTTAACGACAAGAAGTTTGCTTTCTCGTAGTTGCTATAGTTACCAAGGAGCCTTTACTTCCAAATTAGGAAGAAGAGGTCTTTTCTCCTTACGTTAGGGTTCTACCGTGATTAAGATAAAGGATCTGT